GTTCCGCAGAGCTAACAGCCGGCTATCGCGCCGCAAAAAAGGAGTTATATTACGCCTAAAAACAAAATCGCGGTTGGAGGGGAGGCACAAAAAACGCACAACACAAACGCCATCGAAGTCGGCCCATTGCCATGTCAACAAGTGTGTCCAGCCAAACGTGTACATCGTTCTTCGGTCCCCAACCAGGAAGTCGAGACGCCCCAACCGAGGCCAACTTTGAAGTAAGAGCCTTCGTTTCTCTTGACCAAGTCATCGCTTAGCCATCCTTCCTTTTCTTCCATCCGCACCCCCGGCGCGCAAACGCACGTCGCGGGAGTCGGTGTGCTGGCATGCGCAACATGTGACGGGCATTGACAAAAGTGCCTTGAACTTTTGCTATACGGCTGATGACCTCATCCTAGATCCCACGGTTGTTAGTATAGCTGCCTAGATACATGAATTTATCGACGACTTCTAGCTGGTCACCGCCGAAAGTCAGCGAAAGGGTGGGTTCCCGCAAATTCTGGGGAAGAACTTTGCATTCTAAGTGCAAAGCATAAACCAAAACAATTGACAGTTAGAGCCGATTTATCCAATGCTGCTTGACAGGTGGGAGCTATCACAGATAAGGTCAAGATTGTCGGCGTAAACAAAACCAAAAAGTCGACCACCTGGGAGCAATTCCACACTCTCCAAGTCGTGTCCAATGCATACAGTTTCCATGACTTCATCGATGGCTAAGTTAGAAAAGAAAGATAACTGCGGGCAACCCCGTCTCACATTGCTGGAGACATTGAAGGGTGGTGACAGCTTGCGGTAAGCCCTCACTCAGCATTTACTACGAGCGAAAAGCGATCTGATTGTCTAATTGTCTCTCGAGCACACCTTTCCTAAATGGACAGTTCCAAAGGGCACGTCGATCAATCAAGTCGAAGGCACGTTTGATGTCTAGGAATAGGACTACGTTGGGTCGTAAACAATTGACGTAATGTGAAGATGTGACCCATGCAGCCGCGACTTTGACGAAGGCTGGCTTGCTCCCCACGAATTTGACTTGCAAGAGTGCTAGTCCGTCTGTAAAGAACGACAGACGCAAGCAATTTAGAGGCAACCGAGCTCAGGCTGATCCCTTTGTGAGTGCCGTATTCTGAACGAAAACCAACCCTGAATATTGGGACTGTGATGGAGTGCCTCCAGTTTGCTGGCAGTCTCCTGCTTTCACAGCTTCACTAGTGAGTTGTACAAGTCATTCGCAAAAGCATGGCCCCCTGAATTCGAAGAGGGCTAGAGGAAGCCAATCTGCTGCCACGGTTTCATTCAACTGCGACCGACTGACCTCGCGATCGACTTCTGCGCGTAATGGCGGATCAAAGGAGGCAGTTCAGGGAAGAGAGTGATCAATGGCCAATAGAGAAGCTGACAACCGACGGAGTAAAATGCTTCTCAGTGTTCATCCCAACGTTGCAAGCGCCTCGACAAACTGTGGGTTGGCTGTCCCCTCTCGTCGCATATAGTTTGCCACTACCTGGTCTCCTGCTTCCCGTTTCGTGTATCAGACGGAATAATATCCGATACTTATGTAGGACAGCAACCCTTCCCATTTCCGATGCACGATGAAACCACCATGCTTGGCGGTCTCTATTCAGGCTAACACTGGGACCTTTGCGAGTCTTATTGTGTTCGCTTACAGCCGGAACATGTCGGTGAGTAGCCAGAAGTTCCAGGGATTGTTCAAAAAGATGCAATGTTCATGTTGACAACTAGATTTGCCACATGAAAACATGCCTACTACTAATAACGGCAGGCAGATATGTGACCACTGTTGAGTGAGCATTTACCCATCCCGGATGCAAGCGTATATTGATACGCATTCAGAACATATGGCTTCGCCAGTTGTTAAGCATCTATGCACCAACAGTGCCGCTGAAACGCACCAGCAAGTCGGCGCATACAAGTGCGTGGTCAGAGTATAAGCTTGTGCTCTAAATCCAGCGACAGTTTTGCACAAAGCCTCTCCACCAGTAATTGACCGCGATGTGATCGATTGGCGTCCACGCTGGTGGGCGCTATATCAGATTTTTGCGGGTACGGTGTCGAAAGTTAGTGCTGGCGAAAAATAGGCGAGCATCTACACATGTACAGTAACCGCTAATCGTTATCATTAAGGGGGCCCGCACTGTGTTGGCCACCTAGATGCAGCATATCAGTGCACAAGTTTCCAAGTTGAGCGTTCAAATAACCAGCAAGCATCACAGTACCCGTACCATTTCTGTAACGAAGGGGCGCGTTCATTTGGTGATACAAGCCAACTTTCACTGAGTCAGTGCTACAATTTGTGAGAGTGTACGCAGTGATGACGAACAGACACCGGCTGTCCCCGCTGGACTTCAAAGCGTTGAATGAGCCAGCCGATGTGACAGCGCATATCCAGTTGTTCAATGGAATCCAATCGACCAGGGCAGATTCAGCCCGAGGGCTTAGACCAATGACCACACCGGCTTGATCGATATTTGAAGCTGCCTCCTCCGGACAAGCGCAGTGCGAAAATACCGCCAGTGTCACATGATGGGGATCGAGGTTAACCAAAGAACTCGAGTATTTCAGGCGAGTTTCTGATAAAAGCAGATGTCGATCGATAGGTTTTCCAGTGCTCGGACAAGTGATGTCTGTCCGCTAATCTGCAGCAAAGTGCATACGCTGAGACATGTCAGTCTTAGGAAGGATCGAGGGCTCCGAATGGAATTGGTAAGAAGAAAGAATAGATGAGAATGGATGAACTGACGTCCGTTTGATTGAACTGGAGTGACATCTTGCGATTGTGTGTCCGTCGAAACTAGAAAGCAACCACAGAAGTAAGATGGGGGCAGTGCCGAGAATTGGGGGATTGAAAGCAATGGGGATAAAAGTGAAGTTGCAGCGGGACCATAAGGATGAAAATACGCAAGAGGAAAAATAAGAAAACTGGAAAGTCTGAGCAGTAGCATTCTTACCACTATCCAGCTTGCTCGATACAGCAGGGAGGGCGCTTTGACTATCCTCTGCGATAGCCCAAGCATCAATAAATTGTGCGCGAGTAGGATAGTGTAGGCTGCCCAGGCCTAGATAAGATAACGATTAGGGTTCTCAAACAAAGCCTTTGGTTCAGTAACCTGACTGTAAGGCAGCGGGATTTCGGCACTGGGCTACAGTAAGTCTGTTTTATAGACTAAGGAGCCACCGTCACTCAAACCTCCAACCTGGAAGGCCGAGAGACTGAGCTTGTCAGGCCTCTGACCATCGACCAAGCTGGTATGAGTTGCTCTGAAGGTGCGAAAGTACCATCCATCATAGCCTAACGGATCGCTGAGTCGCGCAAAGCATCGCACTACAGTGATCCAGACTGGTCGAGATAGAAAGTGGTAAATCCCAAACACCCAGCTAGCACCACGAGGAGGTCGTACGGGAAGCTAGCGAGAAATACGGCGCCCTCCCACCGCCACACAACCGGTGACGCTTGTGCTTCAAGCCAATCAAATCGAGCTTATAACTCGTTGATTGTTGCCCCTCGCAATCTAGTTTTGAAGGGGGAGTGCACATGAAAAGGTTAACAGTGTAGCTCAAAAGACTATAGAAATAAGCAAACTGCACGGAGAGAGGGTGCAGTCTCCTTGCGTTTGATAATTTTAGGAGGCACAGGTAAACATTCGGTAGACCACCTGAACAACCGGAGCTGACGTTGACGGATAGGATCCACTTAAGTCGGGAAGTGAATTAGAGAGTATGGTCAGACAAACCAGATGCAGTGTAGAAAGAATTGCAGTGAGATAGTATGGCGAATTCTAGAAGGCAGCTACTAGTTGAGAGTGAGGTTGCGTATCTTACTGAGGCCAATGGACCGCTGCTGAGTGGCCGATTTGTATGACCCTGACCGTATCAGTGCGAAGAACTTTCGTCACAAGTAATTTTTCAGCGGTGGCTTAAAATACACTAAATACATTTTGGTTTCAAATTCAGGTCGCACTCAGCGCAATTCAACTCCCAGAGAGTGCTAACACAGAACTACATACGCAGCTTTTGCGTACTACGCAAGGCTAGAACCAAAAGTCTTTTGGTGTCCGAAATGGGTCGTTTTGGGATGGCGAGTGGCACACAAACAAGTCATCCAGTGGTAGGGTATGGTTCACTCGCGCTGACTGGGGATGCGGTTTCATTGAAGAGAAACGACTCGAGCTATGATCGGTGGTGCTAACGATGCACTGTATTTTATTGTTATATTTAAACATATTACGCTCTTAATTTTCTTATTTTTCACAGTTCTGCAAGTGACGGAAAACAGGTTGCAATGGAACGGCTGGCAGACTACCGATACCGAAGGCGGCATCACTAAATGTCATAACACGCACTACTCAGCTGTCTGCTAGAACAAATATGAACATACTAATACTCACGACCAGGCTGAAAGCCGAATGTGAAATAAGGTACTGCAGATAAATAAGAATAAAGAGGCGGAACATCACGGAAAAAGTAGCAAATTGGATGACGGCCAGAAGCCGCATTTGATTGTATCCGGTCACTTCCAGAAACAAGAAAAGTTAGCGCAGTATGTCTAAACATCGGGTGAAACACTGGTAACACCACAGGTCAAAACCCATATAATTGTCTTTAAAAAGGCACCTAATCAACGGTAGTGACCGATTGGCAGTAGCTGGGTGACCTCTAACTGGGTGGCTTCTAACTGTACCAGTGAGACAAATTACGTCAACACATCAGTTAATTTTGAAGTATAGCCCCTTTATCAACGTCTTATGATGCTTTGTGAAGTGACTTCTGCTGAGGGCTGACAAAATTTTCGATTATGTAAAATGCATTCTAGCTGTACATTAGGGCTACGCTGGAAAACATTCAGTGTAATCGCTATCCCACTGAACTGTCTCAGTGTGGCGGCAAGTGGTATAACATCGGCCAGTCACCATACCCCATCCGTCACACGTGCTGAGAGAGAGCAAGTAAAATAGTGGCCGAATTTCAATCATATAACTCACATGCTCATCAAATTCGTAAGGTGCAATGCCATCCGCAAAGTCATGTGCGATGAACAAGTCGCCGCGCTTGTGTATATCATATCCGACAATCATCATTTCGGCAGCCTCAAAGAGGCTCAAACAACCAATGTGTTCCGCTCGCCCATCAGTACAAATAACGTAAGCGATTTGTTTTTCCGGAGAGGATATCCCAGCGGACGACAACAATGATCTTAGCGAAGCGATGTCCCAGACAGATCCAGGGTTGACGATGATTGAACCAGAGGGCCCGCGAAGCAAAACGGTATTGCAACTGCGCAAGATGGAGCCATCATCCTGTTTCAAATACTTTCCCTGACGGAGAAGAGTCACTGAATACCCCTCTTCGGTCATTGAAAGAGCCAGACGCGGATTGAGGCAATATTAAGGGACTGTACGTCCCTTTAATATCCGTCCGGTTCGGGATGATAGGTTCTTCCGTATCCGTCACCAAGTGTAGGTCGCAATAGACCGGAAGACCTGCAACGGAAAGTAAAGAGAGCGTAGGTGGCTGGAAGTCAAGTCCAAAGCACCTAGTAGGAACTAACATCGACAAACAGAGTATCAAGAGTCTGCGGGCAAGCAGACACCGGAAAGTGGCTGAGTAGCAGAGAGCGACCAAACACAGAGCGGCCGTCTAACAACAAGTGATCAAAGGATTATCAAGTTCAAGTGGGAGTGGAAAGATAGGAGAATTCCGTGAGTGTTCGTTCTTGCGTGGATCGTTGAGCAAGGAATTGATGAAGTGCTCAGTTATTGATGGATCTAAAACGGAACACCCATATCGCACCCTGGCCAATCAGTTAATGTCCACGTTTCCTGCCGCAGCAGTCCCAGCGGTGCCAGTCACGTGAAGTAAGCAAAGGAAAGGAAGATAAATGGAAGGTACAGAATAAGGAAGTTCAACTGAAATAAGAGGATAACACCAATGCATAAAGAAAAGAAAATCGAAGTATAAATATGCGAGTTAGTCAGGAAAAGGGAAAGGTATCGTGTTGACACCCAAAAGGACCAAGTTGACGCTCAAACCTTTAAACGTAGATTCCCTGATAACGCTTTCCGAAAGCATGTTCCAGTGTTCGATGACTCGGCGTGACAGCCGAATTTCCCCCCTAATCAGATCGGACCGCGGTTTGTCCAGCTTCATGGAATGACCGCGGAGAAGGGACACTCTAGCGGGACAGAATAGCCAGGATAAATCTGGATCAACCTTCGCAGCTAAGACACGGTAGGTTAGGATTATGTCTCCTCTAAGCCTTCGGTAGTGCGTTAAATGTATTCCCATCCCTGTAATCCCTCACCCAACCTAGCATGCACCCGTAAAACCATTTCTAGCTTCATTCAGTTCCAGACGAGGCAGGGCGGACAAGCTTAGACGCAGTATTGCAGATGAGGTCGAACGAAAACCGAGAAGTCTCGTAAAGATGCCGACCGTCAAGATACCGAAAGAACGTCGTATTAACCACACCATACGGAAACCCATGCTTGCGGCCTTCTTCCAGTTGTCGTCGGGGTCTAAAGTCGAAGAAAGTATGACGCCTAGATCAACCTGGCTAGATACACGGAACAGTTCGACCCCACCTACCAAGAACTTCGTACGAGGACAACCTCATCCAATTCGAAGAATGGAGCACTTTGCCTGATTTATAGGCAGTAACCATAAAGTAGACCACTCCCAAAACCTATCTAAGGCCAGCTGAATAGCTACGAAACCCTTAGGAACATCCACAATATTCTACAGCTTCAGGTCATCATATATATATATATATATATATATATATATATATATATATATATATATATATATATATATATATATGGTTGGCGGCATCCGGTTTCGGATTTGCCTGTCACTGTGGCCAGCCACAGGACGCCTGCGCCTACAGAGGGACCATGGATGGCTTGCGCTGCACCACTCACAGCTCCAACCACACACCCCATATCCAGTGTAAACCCGAAGGAATAAGACCGGGAGGCATGTGGATGGGAAGCACGTTTCATCAACGGAGCCGGCCCACACTCCTTCACAGGCAAACACAAGCACGCTGTATTTGGGGAATCAAGCGCACACATGGCGGTGGCTGGACCGTAGTCCGCTTCACACTGACTGCATGGAATCACTCTTTGATCATAACACGGCCACAAGGACCGTGCACCCTGTCCCCTCCAGCAACGACCAACTGTCTCCTGGAGCCAGTATGGACGAGGTAGTGAGTAATAGACAGGTAGGCACCTTGTCAACATGCACATCAAGCGCAGCCACACCGGGGATATCAAACAACAGCCAAACACTTGAGAGAGAGAGAGAGAGAAAGAAAATAACTCGATTGATGCATAAGGAAACGGTGACACAAACATTAAGTTAATGAGCATAAGAAATAAGTTGTTTACAAAAGACTCCGAGATAAGTTCACGAGGTCAGAAAGTATACTATACGAAAATGCCACGAACACAGAAATGTTATGGAAATCGAATACAATTGGCTTAAGCGAGCTGTGCAAGTTAATGGAATAGAGTACAGGTTGACATTTATATGAGAAAGAAAAGCATTAAGGCAAAATTAAAAACCCACCACCTGAAATAAAGACAATTAGCATGCAAGCACGCGGTTAGTAAAAAGAATGCAGCGTATCTACAGACGCTGCGCCGGTTTTGAATATTTCTCTGCAGGACCCGTCGTCGCTTCTGTAGTGGTCCTGAGTGGCCTCGCTCATGGCTCACTAGACACTAGACATTTATAAGAGAAAGAAAGGCATTAGGACAAAATTGCAAAACCACCACCTGAAATAAAGAGACTTAGCATGCAAGCATGCGGTTAGTAAATCGAATTCAGCGTGCCTACAAACGCTGCGCCGGTTCTGCCTACGTTCACTGCGGGACACGTCGTCGATTCGGCAGTGGTCCCGAGTGACCTCTCTCATGGCTCACTAAGCCTGCCTGACTAAGGCGCTCACGACCGCATGTTCTACAGCACAATGCGCTCGATGTCGATGGAGTACAATTCATCGGTGCTTGCCGCTTCCGCAACTGCCGCTTCTTCTCTGCATGCATGGGGGCTTTCTCCCGCACTTCAGCAACTGCCTTCGTGATTAGATCGCGCCATGCACCACGATCAACCGCCTTCGATTCCCATGATCTGCAATCAAGATTAGAACGTGTGAGGCTCACTTTAATCATGTCCTGGTAACGTAAATTTGGTTTCCCCACGTGCCGCTTCCCAATACTCAGCTGAGAATTTAATAGTTGTTTCGGTATCCGCGTCAAATCCATACTGCTCACATGACCGAGCCATCTCAGGTGTCTCAATAAAAGTATGCAGTCCACTGCATACATCCCACTTCGGCGCAAAACTTCCGTGTCTGCAACTCTGGCGCCCCAACCGATCCGCAAAATCCGTCGCAGACACTGCTGATGGAACTGCTCGAGATATCGCACATCCCGCCGGTACATCGTCCACGTTTCACTGCCGTATGGAAGAACGGACAGTACCATGGATTTGTACACCATCAGCTTCGTGCCAATGCTAAGCTGATCGTTGTTCCACACTCGGTAATCAAGCTTCCCGAATGCCGCCGCTGCCTTCGACACGCGATTACGCAACTCAACGTGTAGCTGCTGATCAGTCGACATCACACTCCCAAGGTAGCAGAAGCGGGAGGTGGTTTCCAATACTTCAGCACCAATGCTGATTTGCGGCAATATTGAAGATTGCACCTCCGGTGAAGGCTGAAAGAGACAGACAGTTTTGCTTGTGTTGATGGTGAGCCCGAATTTGGCCGCTGTCGAAGCCAGAGCACTAGTCATGTGCTGCAACTCATCCGCGCTGTGTGAAAACAACGCACAGTCGTCAGCAAACAGCAACATACGGATAGTTGTCTCACAGACTAGAGTTCTCGCACCGAAACGACGGATGTTCAGCAATCCACCATCAATGCGGTGCTCCACACCAACACTGTAAGCACAAGCCGCATCAAAAGCACTAGACAACATGGCATGAAGATATACAATGAACAGGGCAGGAGCTAACACACAGCGTCCCTTCACACCAGAGACAAATGCAAAGCCATCAGAGGTCTCTCCACTCAGCTGCACCCTCGCTCGCATACCGCTGTGCAGACAATCAATTAAACTTACAAACTTACGCGGGCAACCAAACTTACCCAACACCAGCCACAGTGCCTCGCGGTTCACCGTATCAAATGCCTTGGTGAAATCAACAAAAAGCGAGTACAATGACTGGTGTCGTTCTCTGCACTTCTCTTGCAACTGAAGAGCCGCAAACACCATATCTATAGTGCTGCGAACCGAACGGAATCCACATTGCTCTTCCGCCACGTTTGGTTCCACAATCTGACGCACGAGGCGATTGAGCAGGATTCGGGCAATCACCTTGCCCACACAACTCCGCAAGTTGATGCCACGATAATTCGTGCAACATCGCTTGCTACCTTTGCCCTTGTACAGTGGTAGCACAAGGGCATCCTTCACCACAGCAGGCACCTCCTCCTCAATCCACACGCGTTGCACCAAGTGGTGCAGCGCAGTCAACGACGCGCGTCCACCGTGTTTCAATACTTCAGGTGGGATCCCGTCACCTCCGGCACACTTCCCGTTTCGCAGCTGAGCAAGTGCTCTCTGCGTCTCATCCAGTCTCGGCGTATCCGCCAGATCCGCCTTCACATCGTGCTGCTTCAGGCCATTCAATGTAGGCCAGTCGACCTCTGAACGGTTGTTCAAGAGACAGTCAAAGTGTTTCCGCCAGATCTGCATTATGTCTGCAGCCTGGATGCAGTTAGCGCCTGAACTACCATCGATCAGTGTCCTCAGCGGCTCCAATCTCGGTCCATACACCGCCTTCAAGGAGTCAAAGAATTCCTTGTGTTGGCGACGTTCGGCGTAGCATTCCATCTGCTTCGCCTTCTCCGTCCACCATGCATTTTTAATGCGACGGAGTTCTTGGGTCAGTCGCCGTCGAAGTTTGCGAAACTGACTACTCTTCCCCAAGTCACTGGGGTCTGCAACATGTGCAGCAAATGCTGCATTCTTCTCCGACACCAATGCGTCAATCGTCACATTGTTGTCATCAAACCAATCAGGTCATTTACAGATTGGGCGCCCGATGGTCTCCTCCGCAGCAGCTGTCACCTGGTCGCGAATGTGGTGCCACAGGTCGCCCACTGTGGCTATACAGTCCACATCACCACACAGGCGTGCAGCCATCGCCTTATCCAGCTCAGTACGTTTCGCCACAGTACCGAGGGAGAGAATGTTAAATTTACGCCGATTCACGGCAGGAGTGCAATACATAGATTTACCAAAATATATGCACAATTTGGTTCGCACCTATTTGTGATCAGTTCCACACTCAGCTCCACGCAGTACACGTGTCATGCGCACTTCACGCATATCACGCTGACGTACGATGACATAGTCGAGCAGGTGAGCGTGACCACTCCGTGGGTGCGTCCAAGTTGCTATATCACTC